GAAGACTGGTTTGCCTTTGCTGTAAACAAAACTTGGTTCTCACGAGACTTGCATAGTGGCTTTCCAACGGATGACGTCCTTGATTCGCTTCAGAAGGCCTTTATTAACCCACCGGAGCCGTGTGGAGCACTTTTATGATGGACCGATGCACTTTTATTAAACTTCAAAATCTTAAACCCCATTCAATGCCATTATAAAGCTTGGAAGAGCCAGGATATTTTTTAACATAACTCCATTCGTATTTGTGACCCTGGACCACAAAACCAGTCATAAGGGTCAATTTTCTGAAAGCTGAATAAATAAGCTTTCCATTGATGTATATGGTTTGTTAGGATATCAGGTATTTGGTCGAGATACAACTATTTGAAAATCTGGAACCTGAAGGTGCAAAAAAAATCTCAATACTGAGAAAATCACCTTTAAAGTTGTCCAAATGAAGTTCTTAGCAATGCATATTACTAATCAAAAATTAAGTTTGGATATATTTACGGTAGGAAATTTACAAAATATCTTTATCATATTGTAGATGTATATGATCTTTACTTAATATCCTAATGATTTTTGGCATAAAAGAAAAATTGATAATTTTGACCCATACAATGTTTTTTTTGGCTATTGCTAAAAATATACCCAAGCGACTTAAGACTGGTTTTGTGGCCCAGGGTCACATTTGTCTGAAAAAAGAAAGTCATATACATCATCTAGGATGGCTTGAGGGTGAGTAAATCATGGGGTAATTTTCATTTTTGGGTGAACTATCCCTTTAACACATGGGTATTGCCCTTTATAGAAATACTGAAATATATTACCTTAAATGCTTGAATAACCTTAAATACATGAAAAATAACATAAAAAAATTAAATGCATATAAATACTGATATCAGGAATACCATGGACAAAAAAATAGTAGGATGGTGGAATTACAGTTGTGAATGACTGAATAATCTTCCCTGTGCTGTTTTCTTTTTTTCATTACAGATGATGGATAATATATTAGGAAAGACTAAATTTGCTCAGAGAGGCCCTGCTTCAGCCACTCTTGTTGGATTTGCAACCACAGCCAAAGCAGGTGTAAGATCAGAGGATCATGCGTCTAACACCATGCCGGTGGCTGCAATGGCCGCCTCATGTCTCCTTCCCACTGGAATCATCACAACCTCTTCCCAAATCCCTACACTTGTGACGTCCCCAGTGCTGTGCAAAGTTACCCCAAAATTAAACCCCAGCCCCTCTTGTAGCACAGACACGCCTCTGCCCTCCCTTTCACCAAAGCCAGTGCCGCTGGTGAACCGTCAGCCGCTGAAGCGGAGGTTACGCCATCTTCGGCTCAACTCCATGGCCTCTCGTGTAGCTCAGCAGCAGGGGCAAGCTGAGGAACGCACCACACTTCTTCGCAGTTTCCTCACCGCTCAAGAAGAGCGCATCCGTTTAGACGAGCAACACCAGCGCAAGGCAGATGCGTGTGAGCGACGCAAGGAGAAATCAGCACGGGCCATGGCTGATGCGATGGGGAGGATGGCGACGGCACTGGAGTTGATCTCATCCAAGCAGGACACCATTATCGCTCTACTTCAGAGACTGGCTGATAAGCACTAATATTGCTTTTGTAACAAAACTGAATTTAATTTGAAGTATATATAGTGTGTCCTGTTGTTCATGGTATAAGTAATTGATTTGGGAACCTGTTTCTAGTTGAAAAAGCTTGAAAGATAAAAAAAACATGGACTCTTTAACTTATTAACAATATATACAGAGCCTATAAAAACTATTCCTTCCTTGTAAGTTTTCATGTTTCACAAAGGGTTTTATTTGGCTGTTTTGACAATGAATAACAGTATTGTTTTATGTCAAAAGTTTAGTCTGTACCAAACTTATTGCAGTTATGAATAATAATAATAAAAACTCTTCTTTTTGAAGATGTGCAGTTTTGAAAGTAAAAATAAGAATACATTTGAATACATACACCCTGACGAAGGCAAAATAGCCGCAACGCGTAGGTGTGCACTTGTCACCTGTTCTTAAAACTTATAGCCATGATGAAATAAAGGCTTTTTAAAACTTTTTGAATAAGATTTGAGTGCCTTGGACTACTATTATTCTTACGAGTTGAATCATCCCTTGCACCCAAAGAGCACCGAGACAAGAACCCTATACCCCGTGCAGCACTTCTTTTGCATTCTTTATTTCGTAAGAATACATTTGTTTGAATTATTGTTGCCCTCAAGTGAACACTAGCACAACACACACCACACACAGTGCTCTTATTCAGCAATATGCGTCTTTAGCCATTCACAGGCCTCAGCTCTTATTTTGATACTCAGTTTTTAATACAGTTTTAGATATAAATCAGCTTTACTTGCAGTGAGTCGTTCACAAGATGCACATGTAATCAGAGCCGATCCTAGCATTTTGGGGGCCCTAAGCAGATTTTCAAAAGGGGCCCCCACTACCTACGGTTTCACCTAAGCACCACCTCCCATCCTCCAATACACACATCGACACCGTATTGTACATTTTTAGAAAATTGTCTTATTTATCTTTCGTGATATAAAAATGAAGATAAGCCTATATTTCATATTATATACATTTGTTTTGTTAAATGTTAAATGTTTGACCATTACTTTCAGAGAAATATATAAAAATGTAAGATTAATGCTTTAATAAAGCAAAAACACTTGCCAATGGGTTATTTATTTAAGCAGATTTTCTAATTATTATGATCCAGATGGTGGATCAGCACCTAGAAAGGACCTCCACAGCCCTGAAAGACAGCGGAGGAGCCTAACGCAGTACATGTAGCAAGGTGTATATATATATATATATATATATATATATACATAGACATACACACATACATATATACACACATGCACAAAGAAAAACAAGTAGATAGAATAGGAAAAATAGAAAGACAGTGTTTGTTTGTTTTTTGTTGTTTTTTTTTTTAAGAAAAAAAGAAAAAAAAGATGATATAGATAAAGTAGAATTCAAATAGAATAGAAAGTGCCAATGGGTTATGAAAATTAGTATTATTTCAATTATTATTATTAATTATTATTGCTCATAATAATCTATTTTCTAGATTGGCTTGTTTTAGTCCAGCTTAAAATGCAAAAATATATATGTGCAAACAAACATGTAAATACTGTTATGACTTCCTCTGTATTTCTGCGGTTCAGCGCCACCTCCTGTCACAAAATGAGCTTGCATTTTTATTCAGCCCGTCTGCATCCCCCCCCCCAGATCACTGTGAAAATCAGACCGAATTTAGTTTAACTGGTCGCTAATATAAATATATACATACGCTAATATATTGTCTAAAAATCTAAAGGTAATAAAGAGTTGCTTCGTCGTTGACAAATGACAGAAGACACTTGCAAGTTTTCTACTACCACCTCATCCAGCGCTCTTTTTGTTTTATATAATATCCTTACTATTGCGGTGTGAGGAACCGCTGCAAACTATCCAGGGTGAGTGAACCGTCCGAATAAATCACTCTGAATCGTGAACAGTTGTCATCGTGCAAACCTGTTTGACAGATTAGATCAAAAGAGCGATTAATTCGTCAATCTGGTTTAACGTTACGCCTTTGGTTGTGACCTGTAACGTTAACAGATGAGTGGATGCGTTACTTTACAGAGCAAAATTTCTTTATGCAGAATCGATCACCGACAAATGTAAGTTTAATGCCTAACTATTAATGGCATCCAATGGTAACGTTGCATGAAAACTGACTAGTTCGTTGCTTAATGCTCGTCCGTTCCTTTGCCGCGAGGCAGTATCGTTTTACTAACAAACTCATCAGCTTGTTCTCGTGGCTACTAGTGCTGCTTCGTATGGATGTTCAGCTAGCAAACAAGGTTTTAGCTGAGTTAATAGAACTGATTAGAACATACGAAGGTGACGTCACCGTAGAGTCTAAACTAAAAACATGTAGTGGTTACATTATGTTTGTATTGACCGCGTGGCCTAATGGATAAGGCGTCTGACTTCGGATCAGAAGATTGAGGGTTCGAGTCCCTTCGTGGTCGTATTTTTTTTAAATGGTTTCTGTTACACAAAAACACACCAGTATGAATTAAATTTGAAAACAGCAAATTTGTATTTAAAAACGTCATATAAGTTCGGCGGTGCAGTAACTCTTGAATGTCAACCTGTTGAGTCCGCTTAGTAGCATTGCTATTAGTAGATCTGGCTCAACTAAGCTATTACGAGCAGAGTGGCGCAGCGGAAGCGTGCTGGGCCCATAACCCAGAGGTCGATGGATCGAAACCATCCTCTGCTAGATTTTGTTTTTCTATCCCCACCCCAAAACTACTGATCTTTTTCTGACCATGTATCATGTTTTATTTATTTAGTAAAAATGACAAATGCATACAACAAAATTTCAAAACTTAACATTTAAAACAATTCAAAATATTAAAGAACAAAAGGTATAAGAGTGTGATAATGATTCTAACATAACACCAAGCCAAACACCAAAAAAACAATTACATATGTGTATGTACAACCATACACACATACATATGTATATATATATACATACACACAGTATATACATACACATTTATAAATTCAATATATATATTATTTCATTTCCATTTAGTTTGTTGAAGTATTAAAATAACTCAAATGAAATAAAACTAAAACTTAATAAAAGACCTATACAGACATAATAAATTCAGATATAATTTAACTAAAATTAAAATAAATAACAAATACAAATAATACAAATCAAACGTCAGTAGCTTATCAGTAATCCTAAAAAATAACACTGCCAAACTTACATGCTAAAAAACAACAACTTACTTACACATAGTAAGAAATGATTATAAAAACTGAAACAGAAGTGAAACAAGTAGTAGGAAAGAGGAGAAATAAAAAGCGATACTTATTGTTCATTAATGTTCATTTATTATGTGACAAATAATAGTTTAGATATATTTAAATTTGTAATAAGTTTGTCACATTTATGTATGGCAAGTGAACTGGATGAGTAAATTCTAGTGTCATACAAATATCTTAATTCTAATAAATGCGCTACAATAGTATTTAATTAATTAATTAATACTGAATAATTAATGATTTAATTCCTATGTTGATTAAAGTAATCTGGAATGTACTTCAATAGATGCTATACACGACATTCAGCAAAAGAACATACCACCTTCACAGTGTAATTTTGCAATGTTTATATCAAAGTTTGAATACAGAACAAACACTCATGTTTTGGGTTCAGTCAAAGTCAACTCGTCTTGCTTGCTTTGTTGCCGCATGTAATTTCTTCTGTTTAAGTCTTTCCAAATTTATTTTCTCTAATCTGCACACACACACAAAACAGATTTTTGTTAAACTCATGTTGCATTTGTAATACTTTTTAATGAATTACTTTTTAGAATGCATGTTTTGCTTCATGCATTCTAACCTATGAGCTCTCAGAGCGATATCCTCCTCAGAAGGCTGTGGTTTCTGCTGACTGGCTTCAGTAATCATTTCTGAGATCTTCTGAAGACAGTCTTCTAGATTTCTCTTTTGGCTTCTGCTAATCTCTGAGGTCACAATCAACTCTCCAGCTTTGTTGACACGTGTTTTATTCTGTTGACACAAGTATTCATGCCTTGAGCAGTGCATGTTACACACGTGTTTGTTATTATAGGACTTACTGAAGAGGTTACACTTACTTTTAAGAGAATCTCTCGCCTCACTTCTTCTGGAATCCATTCTGCTGTTTGCACATGGAAACGGACCTCTGCTTTTGTACTGACTGCAAATGAATATTACAAAATATAAAGTGACAAAAATAAATACTGACTTTATTTAAAATACCTTCTTTTGATGCGTAATGCTTGCATTGTATAGGATTAATGGATGTGTTCAATAAAATTTAGAACTGTTAAACGTTTGACCTGAACAGCAGGTACATTGTTATTTGACAAACCCATCCCATAATATCCTGAACCACTTTTTCATTACATTACACACCCTAACCTTACACACAATCCTTTTAGCATGTATAACATTCATAAATTTTAACATATTTCATACAATGTGTGCAGGTTTCATTGTTACTCCAGCAGGTGGCGACGTGTGGCAAGTGTGACCGCGCAAAACTTGTGTTGCTGCTGCCTGCATTATCGATAGCACACACGGCGCCCCTGCTAGTATCTAATAAATAAGAACTAGTACTATCTAATGAATAAGCACTAGTAACTTTACAAAAGACACTAGTAACTAAAGAATAAGCTCTAGTAGCTAATGAATAAGTACTAGTACTTAAGATTAGGGTTGGTTACCGGACTCGGTACTTTTAAGGGTACCGACCGAATTGCGTCGGTACTGCGCATACACTACAGAGAGAGAAAGAGAGACCCTGTGACGTGAGGTCACCCCTGCAACTTGTTCAAACAACACACAGGGCAAGCCGAAATGCTCTGAAGTGTGGTTACATTTCTAGGGCCATATGGTTTCTACGAAAATGCGGACGGGATCGCGGAGTCCATTCATAAAAACATAATTTACTCTATAGCGCGGAATGCCACGGAATTTGTCAATTTTGGACGAATAAATCAAAAGTAGCCACTGCCACTTAATTCGAATCGCGATATGAACTAGTGTCTGTGAATATTAAAATGCAAAAAAGACGGTTTAAATATGAATCCTGCATGTTCCGCTTGCCTCTGTATGTATGAATGACGGAAACGCAGTTTTGTTTACTACACAAATACTGAAGCACTCGTGACGCTCGCTGTGATTTCCAGCCTCTGCGTCTCACTATATGACGGCATGAACACAAAAACTTAATCTCCAGAGCTGCTGTGAGAGTCACTTCGCGAGAATTTTACCGTTTCATTTGAGAAAACTAGCATCATCATACTGTATACACACAGAAACTTCATGGCAACCTGTCAAAATAAATAAAGAAAGAAAGAAAAAGTTTGTAGGGCCCTATTGTTCAAAATGTTGAAATTGAGACTTTTGGACTTATTTTTTCACTGAAATAAATGTTTTTGTAATTACACAGAGAGTAAAGTACCGAAAAAAGTACCGGTTAAAATGTGAACGGTACCCAACCCTACTTAAGATACTAGTATCTAAAAAAATAAGTACTTGTAGCATGAAAATAGATACTAGTACGGCTTAAAGATTAAATGTGAACACGGCTTGCCATATAGCAACTGCTGCAGAAAACCTTCAGCAATATCTGGTCTATAAAGCAGTTTACCCTTATTGACATGTTGACCGCCGGGTCCGCTGCTCCGACTGTATGTTATCTTCAGTTTATCTAGAAGAGACGAAAGTTTCATGAGTCGGTTTATTACAGATATGCTGTATCTGAATCCCGAACTTCTTACCGACCGGGATGCGCGAGAGCCGATCGTCCTGAGATAAAAAAAAATTACATTATGTTTAGGCAGTGCTATGTTGCACGTCAAGGAGAATCATGGAACAAATACACAAATTATGTTTTTGTATTATGGAGAAAATCAAAACATGATCACCTGTGTAAAATGCGATGCCTGTTTAATGTGGGAATAACTATTGCCTGTTAAGCGGTTCGGTCGCGTTTTGTCACTACCGAATAGGCCCACAGTTACTAAATTACGGCATATATTCCTCGAGCATGACAGTTTATGCAGCTGTAAGAAACATAAACTTGTAACCACGGTCGCCGCCATGTTGAAAATGAACATGCACGTGAAACAAAAACATCCGGGTGAGATCTGCTTTGGTTTCAGATGCGCGCTTACTTAATATGAACATTAAAAAGTGTGTGTAAAGTGCTTATTAAGACACAATGAAGTTATTGCATTGTAAATTATTTTCTTTATGCAACACGAGTAAACAATAAGGGAAGGTTCCACCGAGATTTGAACTCGGATCGCTGGATTCAGAGTCCAGAGTGCTAACCATTACACCATGGAACCTCCTGTGTCTTAGCTTCTGAAAATATCTTATATGAAATCAGTAGTGTCTCCTTCACACACACATTTCGATCAGTTGATCCGAAATACATGCAGCTTTGTAACGTACACTCCAGAGTTGATCGTTCGCAAAGAGCCGCCCTCCTTAGTTACTGTTGCTATCCCCGACAAACAATGCCGCTCTCACCATAGACATAATAAATACCTTATAATTATTTATTATGTCTATGGCTCTCACACTACACATGTTCTCACGCAGTGAAAAATATATGGCAGAGCAAAGAGGAAACTGCCAACACACCCACAGAGAAGACAGAGCAGGTTACTTCTGATATAAACAAGGTCTCGGGACTCTCAGCTTTCAAATTTAGTAATTTTTAAAGAAATTCAAACAACAAATACCGTTTTGTGGCTCTTTAATGTGCCGTGACAGATCACTGTATTGCCTCAGTTCAAACACGTGAACCGATAGTCTTTTCATACTTACGTAAATCACGAAATGAACATAAATGAACATCAGGAAGTATTTTATTTCAACCGCGGAACACACCATTTTTCAAGTTTAAGTCCACCGAAGTTAATCTACTCTCCTGGCTGATTTGTGGTTAAGGCTAGAAGGATAAACTTTTAGAAAAAGTTGTGTCTGCTCAATTGTGCTCCTTCCTGCAAAAAAAAAGATCTCTGAAGAATTTCAGTCAGGTTTCAGGCCCCATCATAGCACAGAAACTGCACTTGTTAAAATTACAAATGACTTGCTTCTTGCGTCAGACCAAGGCTGTATCTCATTGCTAGTTTTACTTGATCTTAGTGCTGCGTTCGACACAATAGATCATGACATACACATAGATCGATTACAAAACTATACATGTATTCAAGGACAGGCTTTAAGATGGTTTAGATCCTACCTGTCCGATCGCTACCATTTTGTTCATTTAAATGGGGAGTCATCTCAATTATCACCAGTAAAATATGGAGTGCCACAATGATCTGTCCTAGGTCCTCTGCTATTTTCGATATACATGTTGCCCCTTGGTAATATTATTAGAAAGTACGGGATTAGTTTCCACTGTTATGCTGATGATACTCAACTATATATCTCAACAAGACTTAACAAGACCTAAATTATCTAAGCTAACAGAGTGTGTTAAAAATGTAAAAGATTGGATGAGAAAAATACACATGGCGCCATACTTTCATCACTTCAGAGTGTCGCAGTGATCGTCTTTTTGCAGTAAAGGACCTGTCATAGTTTGATGAGTGGGAAGATGACATGAAGCGATGCGAGGTCAGCTGCATTGAAAACAGATGAGCGCATATGTGCATATCAGCTACCAATCGGGGCGAAGTTCACGTGATTTTGTCCACAGAATGATAAGAGCACACGTTTTAAAGGGGTCATATGATGCGATTTCAATTCTTCCTTTCTCTTT